GGGCGGCCAAAATGCACCGCAAGCTCGCGCCGCAAAACTCGATGGCTCCGCCCTTGCGGCCGTGGACCGTCGCGGGCCAGCGGGGAGGGAGGTGGTCGTCGACTGAGGGGACGCGCCACGCAGGCTCATGCGGGAGGTCGAGCAGCTCGAGCAGCCGTTCGAGCGCCGTGAGCGCGGCGGTGACTTGCAGAACATTGAGGGAAAAGAACATCAGGAAATACGGCAGCGCGAAGGCGTAGTTGAGCGCGAGCGCGCTCTCCGCGGGCGAGAGGCGATCCGCCTGCAGCAGTCCACGTCTCGCTGACGGGCGGAATGGCTTCCTTTCCCTTTCCCTCTCCCTCTCCCTCTCTCGGTTGTGTCTCGGGCTCAAGAAGGGTGTGTGGACGGGGACTGCGCGCCTGCAGCACGATGGCCGCGGCGGCGCTGACCGAGAAGAAGAGGCTGACGAAGTAGCTAGTCTGGAAGGACCAGCTCTGGAGCGAGTTTGTGACCAGGTTGAGCCTGAGGAACTCGTCAACGTGCCGGTCGAAACGCTCTCGGACGAAGCGGGGCGCGTAGCCGTCGGCGACAGAGGCCTCGGCGAGCGGGCTATCCTCGTCCTCGTCCTCCCCCTCGCACTCCTCCTTCTCGTCGTCGTCCCACTTGGTAAAGGCGCAATGCCGCAGCAGCTCGGCCGCCTCGGCCGCCTCGGCCACGTCAGTGAGGACCGGCGCCATGGCCGTGTTCGCCAGCCTCTTGGCCTCACGGTTGGACCTATGGACGTGTCATGGACGCGTCACGGACGCGCCCCTGGGAATCACCCGCCGCCTCTCCCCTCGCGGCTCCTCTCGACCGCGACGAGCTGCACCGCCGTGAGCGCCACGATTACCACCGCGGCGATTAGCATCCACGGGATGATTAGGGCGATCACCTAGATTGAGTCGGCCGATCTCGTGTAAACTCGAGTGACGTTGGGTGATCTAGGGCGTGAGGAGCGTCCGCACGCACAGTAGGGGCGCGGGTGGGGGCGGTCACCGCGAAGAAGGCGAGGATGGTGGCGGAGAACTGTAGTACGTTGTCGCCGAACTGCGCGAGCGCGCTGTCGGCCGTGGTGAAGTCCGAGCTAAAGCGGGAGATGAGCCTGCCGCTCGGCGTCGAGTCGAAGTAGAGCACCGGCGCGCGCAGCAGGCTGGCGACACAATCCGCGTGGAGCGAGCGGGCGGCTCGCGCACAGCCCACCTGCACCATATCGTCCGAGACACGCGTCCGAGATCACGCTAGATCGCCCGAGGTTTAGCCCGCGCGCAGCTCACCTGCACCGTAGCCGACGAGACGAGGAGGAAGAAGAGGAAGAGCGCCGTGCCGCCCACGTACACGCCGATGTACCGCCCGTCGCCATCGCCGCCCCTCCCTCCCCCCTGCCCCCGGGCCGCCTTCTCGGCCTCCTCCTCGTTATGGTCCAGCCAGTCGGCCAACCAGCGGTCGTTGAAGCCCATCAGGCCTATGCGTGGTGTCATAGGGCGCCGCGTCATGCCCTCTGTCTGCGAGCAGACGAGCCGTCCCAAAAGCGCCTCAGACCCCACGCAGCGGCCGCCAGCACGCAGCAGAGCGCAAAGTGGCAACGGCCGAACGAGCGGAGGTAGCGGCGGAGCGTCGACCCGCTGAAGTGTCCGGTGCGCCGCGCCTCCGCCGTCCGCTGCGCCGGCGCCCCCAGCTTGGCTGCGGCCACCGAGCACTCGACCGCCGCCGCGACGCTCAGCTCGGCCACTGCGCCGTCCCTCTCCTCCCCCAGCGCGCCTCCCGCCTCTGCAGGCGAAGCGCCCGCCTCTGCAATCTCGGACCCCGTATCGCCGACCGATGCCGCAGACCCCGCCTCGTCGCCCTGTGGAGACGGGAAGGCCGACAGGTGGTCCGTGGCCACCTCCGCTGAAGGACCCTGCGCCGTGATGCGTCCAGCTTCGAGGACCACGAGCCTAATCTCGGGCGAATCTCGTTCAACCTCGGGGCATCTCGCGGCGACCCCTCCTCGTTAGACGCGAGCCGCGAGCAGCGCCTCGCCAAATGGAGCTGGTTGAGCGCGAGGACAACTGCCCGCCCGCCTACTCGCGGCAAGCAGACCTTACGCCACAGCCTGTGCCGGCGGGTGAGGCCGCCCCGCCCCTGCTCACCCGTCGCGTACTCGCGTAGCGAGCGGAAGAGGTGCGCACCCACCCGCGCGTCCACCGCCGCCAGCGGGTCGTCGGCAAATAGCAGCGCCGGCCTACAGCAGCGAGCGACCGTCCAATCCGCTGCGGCTGGACCCCTGCCTCCCGCTGCGGGCGGAAGGAGAGGGCGCGGGTGCCTCTGGTAGAGGGCACGCGCGAGAGCGACACGCATCTGCTGACCGCCAGAGAGGGTCACGCCGCGCTCTCCTACGGCGGCCAAGCTCTCCCATCACAGCCATGTCCCGCCGCCCACCGGCAGAGAAGAGCCACGCAGCGCGCCAACCAGCGTGTCCAGTCCAGCCGGCATCTGCTGCAGGTCGGGTCCGAGGCACGCCCCCTCGATGGCGCGCGCGAGCCGAAGGCGCCGTAGCGGGGCGCCAAAGGTGATGTTTTCGAGGATCGAGCAGCTCAGGACGCACGGCCGCTGCTGGACGTAGCACACGGAGCGAACCAGCGCCGCCGCCTGCGCCGGCCAAACCCTTGCCTGCCCCGCCGCGTCTGCTATGCGCCCGCTGCCGGCGACTGCCAGGCGAGGCATCTCCCCGAGCACGGCACAAAGCAGCGACGACTTTCCACTCCCGATTGGCCCCACCACACCGACGACCTCGTCTCCGCCCACCTCGAGCCCGCCGCTGCCGACCTGAAGGAGAAACCGGCCGCCATCGCCGCCGCCGCCGCCGCCACCGCTGCTGCCATCATCGCCGCCGCCGCCGCTGTCGCTGCCATTGCCGCCGCCGCCGCCGCCGCCGCCGCCGCCGCCCTCACTCCAGGCGAAGACGGCCTCGTCCACCCTCGCCAGAGCCGTGCCGGCTGCCCCTCCCTCGAGCGTCGCCTCCCACGACGGCGCCCCGTCGCTAGGTGAGGCTCGCGCGAGGTCCCGTCGCGGGGTCGCCGCCTCCGCCTCCTCGAGGGGCGGCGTTCCGACGGCGTCAGGCGTGGCCGGCGGGAGGGGCGGAAGGGGCGGCAGGGGCGCGTGCTCCGGAAGCTCCAGATACCGCTCCACGCGCGCGAAGGAGACCTGGATGCGTGCCCACTCGGCGAGGCCGGTCGGGAGCATGATCAGCGCCTATCGCGACGCTGTCACGATCAATCTGGCCGCGGTACTGGCCGCTCGGCTGAGCACGGTCGGGCGCCATCCGCAGCGAGGTGAAGACGGAGAGGGCAGCGAATACGTCGGCGGCGTCGAGCAAGCCTCCTCCCGCCTGTGGTCATCGCGTCACGCTCTCGCAATCCTGTCACGCTCGCCAGCCACGGAGCACATCTCGGCTACATCTCGGCTCTTCTCGCCTGCGAAATGTAGACGAAAGCGGGGCACGCGGCGAGGAAAGGCACGGCGCGCCCAATCTGCGTCGAGCCTGGAACGAGGGACGGGGAGGGAGGGAGGGGGGGGGGGAGGGCACGGGGTTGGGTGAGCGTGCGAGAATTGCTGTGGGCGTGACAGGTTTGCGTTGGGGCGGGGCCCTGGTAGAGGATGCGGAAGCGGCGCATGTACCCGACCTCGACCCGCCGCGCCTACAGAGAGGAAAGTTCCGTGAAGGTTCGCGGAAGGCCGCATGCACGCGACCCTCGCCCCGCGCCGTGCCGTGTCGATGGCGTCCATGTACTGCTCCTCCCACGACAGGAGCTTGATCGGCTTGATGTCGCCGATGACGAGCCGGAGCAGCCCGAGCCGCCTGGGGCAGTCCTCTCTCGCTCCTCCCCTCCGCCGCAGCCACGGGGTAGGGGGAGGGCGAGGCGCCTGTCGGCCGCGCGCATCTCGAGCCGCTCGGTGGCCTTGATGCGTCGCGCCAGCTCAAAGTTGAGGCAAGTGGCGAGCACCTACAACAGGGCCCGGAGAAGGTTAGGGTAGTGCGCGCCGTGCTCGCGTCGAGGCGGACGGCGCAAGGAGGCTCCATGGCGGCGATCCCGATCACGCCCGCCCAGCCGAGCGAGAGCACGAGGAGCACGCAGCCGCCGACCAGGCCCGAAGAGCTCATCGGCAGCAGGCAGAGGTAGCGACTCGCCTGCGGGACGGCTCCAGGGAGTGCACGGAAAGTTTCTGGCTGGCAGAGCGACTATCTCTGCAAGCAAGCGTGACGCGATTGCAGCGGGAAAAGGAGGGTACCGGCGCAGGCGACTCGCCTCCATCGCTCGCACCAGGTCCGACCCGATCAGCGTGCTCGCCTGCACCTTCCCGCCGCCCACGCCAGTCCGGACACGAACCGCCTTGCGCTGCACGAGCGCCGACGCCTGCGGAAAGCACGACAGCCTCTCCGCACGCTCACGTCGCGCGAGCGCTGCCCCGAGCGCCGCGCCATGCCAAACACCGCGCTGAAGAGCCGATCCGAGAGCATGTGTCGCGACGCGCCTGGTGCCGCCAGTCCATGTGAGCAGCCCCCGCTCGCAGGTGGACGGACGACGCCGTGAGGCGCCGGCGCAGACGCCCTCGAAGAGCAGCGACGCACCGATGGCGCAGATGAGGCCCACAGAGCGGAGCGGCGCCACGCCGGCCGCCACCTGCTCCACCGCGGGCGTGAGCGCAGCGGGGTCGTCGCTCCTCTGTTCGGTACTTTGTCTGTGGCGGTCACTCTTCTCCTCTCCTCTCTCTCTCCTCGCTCTCTCTCGCGCTCTCTCGTGCTCGCTGTCTCGCTCTCGTTATCGCTCCCTCTCGCCTTCTCTCCCTGATCTCATCTCCACTCCTCTCCTGCTCGATGGTTAGCTTGAGCAGCAGCGGCCGCAACACGACATTGCAAAGTCCATAGCAAGAGCTCATCGCGATGCCAGCGAGGAACTCGCGCCTGTGGAAGCGCCACGTGAGGCCGACGATAGATCGTCGGTTTGCCTTCTCGCCATCTGACCACCAGAGCTCGGCCGCGAGACGGGCATCGGACTGGGTCAGCCCAGGAGGCAGGGCAGGCAGGTCGTGCGCCTCGAGTGGCCGGCGCCAGCCACGCCAAACCAGCGACCAGACCCAGAGTAGCAGGTAGCGACGCAATAGCTGCGCTAGCCAGATGGCCATTGTGCTGGCTCAGCGTCGCCGGCGCGGTTGTTCTCGTCTCGAGGTGGATATCCTTTGGCCGCGTTGGGTAGCGAGGATTGGTGTCACGCGATCCACGCAGGCGTGGTTTGTAGCCCGACCGTCGAGCAAACCCAAGCCTGCTAAGTGGAAAAAGAATTTTATCCACCGATACAACCTCCTACACCCCTCGAATTTACCCGCCTCGCACGCCGTCGCCGTCCCGCCCGCGTCCCGCCCGCGTCCCGCCCGCCATCGCCCAGCCCGCCCGATTCTCGGCATATTTCTGTGTATATGCTGCGGCGCGCAGCGCCCGCCGCCGGCTCGTGGCTGAGGCGACTGCGCCACCGTCTGAGCGACGAGCTCGAGCTCTTCACCTTCTCCATGTTCGCCGCGGCGAGCACGAGCCTCGCCACCAGTGGGGCCGTGCTGCACATCACGCAGTGGTCTGGCCACGATGTCGGCTCCGGAGGCCGGCTGTGGGGCGGCTCGCGCCGCCTCGTTCGCTACCTCGAGGTGCACGGCGACGGCAGACGCCCGCTGGACGGACTCCGGCTGCTCGAGCTTGGCGCGGGCACAGGCGGCGTGGGGCTTGCGGCGGGGCTGCTGGGCGCGCACGCGACGCTGACCGACCAGGCGTCCTTCCTCTACCCCGGCGAGGAGCTGCCCACCAACGTGTCGCAGCCGAGTCGCACGCTGCTCGACCTCGCGCGGGAAAACGTGGCGCGCAACGAGGGCGCATTTGGCGCCGCGCCGCCCGTGGTGGCGAGGCTGCTGTGGGGCGACGAGGAGGACGAGCGATCGCTGCCGCACCCAGAGTACGACGTCATCTGCGGCGGCGACATCCTCGGATTCACGGCTGCGCACGGCGACCTGCTCCGCACACTGAGGCGCCAGCGAGGAGGGGCCCTCCACACACGGGGAGACGCCACCACCGCGCTTCCTCAAAGCCGGGGATCGTCCGCCGCCTGTGAGCACCCTCCCTGCCCTCCCCCTAGGCGCGTGTCGCTCGACTCGACCGTCGTGCTGCTCGAGTGCACCGACCGCGGCGCGAGCACGAGGCGCAGGTGCCGCCCGAACTTGGCGCCCTCTCCGCTGAACCTTCTCTGAACCGTCCCGTAGGCGCTTCGGAGACGGAGTTCCCGCCCGACCTCGCGTGCTTCCTCTCTGCCGTCGCGGCGGAGGGGCTGTGGGCGCCAGCGGTGGTGCGCGACCACGGCCGCCACCTGACCCTGAGGATGGCGAAAGCCCGATTAGCCCGTGCGGCCTCCGACACGGCGGGAAAGGCATGCACTTTTGGGACAAGGGAGGGTGACTGTGAACACACACACGCACACACACACGGAGGGGAGGGTGGTGACGGAGGAGCACTTGGAGCACTTGGAGTGCAGTCATCAACCGCACATCCAGGGCCAGGGAGCTGAGAAGCGCATCACGAAAAAGAATTTTTTGCTAGGGCGGGGCGCGAGCTGCCGGTTCGCACCGGCGGTGGTCGGTTGGGCTCCCGGGCTCAACCGCCACCGAGAATGGCCGAGCAGCCAACCACTTTCGAGGCCCTCGGAGCCGACATCCACCGTGCTGTCCTCCTTTCCCTCGAGTACGAGCACGCAACGAGCCTCCGGTCGGCGTCCAAGCGACTGCTCCTGGCCTGCGATGCTGGCACCTCCGTTCGTGTTGTACCCCTGCGCTGCACCCTGATCTCATACCACGCGTGTCCTTTCGCACAGGCTTCTGCTCCCTCTGGCTCGCCAAGCACGCCGAGTCCTACCGCGTGTGGCGCGATGCAGACCTGCGGGCGCGGCAGCTCTGTCGAATGAGGAGCGAGTACGAGGACCTCGACTCGCAGCCGCTGGAGGTTGAGGACGAGGAAGATGAAGAGGAGCCGGCGACGCAGGTCTTCGCCTTCTTTGCTGCACGCTGCGCTGACGCCGAACCCTCGTCGAGCCCCGACGCCGAGCCGGCAGTCTCTCTCCCGTCTGAGGCGGCAAGCAGCAGCGCCGCCTCCGCCCCCCAATCCGGCACCTCTCGCGACGGCCCAGAGGCGCCGAAGCGGCCAAAGTCGTCTCTCGGCCGGCGCGCGTCCGTGGAGGCCGCCGCGCTGCAGGCGCTCTTGCGGCAGCGCACCTTCTACCGCGAATTGGACGGCGTCGAGCTGGAGAGGGAGGCGTCGGTGGACGTGTGAGCGACCGCTCCTACCGGGTGCTGGTAGGACAGCCACGCGTCGTTGTCACCGATACGCTCCGTGTCGGGCGCGCGGACACCATTTTCTCGTTATTCATTCTTTTCATGATACGGGGGCACACAACGCCGGTGCGGTTCGTAGACCTGTTACGCGGCTAAGTACGCGGCTCTACCGCATAGATCGCGATTTTTTTCGAGCTCAGACGGCAGCGAGCGACTTTTGCCTGCAGCCGTAACTCGGCCTCTGGCCGCCGACAGCGCCTAACTCGGGGTCTGGGGCGGAGCCCCAGCCTGGGGTCTGGGGCGGAGCCCCAGCCCTGGGGTCTGGGGCTGGCAGCCCCAGCGGGGTGCGGGGCAGAGCCCCGCGAAGAAAATTTCGCATTTTTAGCACCATAAACCGACCAAAAAGAGGGCTGTGAGCTGCTGCCAAAGAGCCCCAAACAAGAGCGCAATGTACAAATATCGTACACAACAGTAGACCTCTAGATATCTACGTCTCGGCACGCGGGGTGACTCCGACTATTGTGCGAGAGGTACGTGACTGGTGACTCTGATCGTGGGCAAAGACCCGAAGTACGCACCCATCCAATTCTCGGTCAGGTGTGTTAGAGCCGTACCGGGGTCTCCGAGATGTAGTGACTAGTGTGGCTGTGGGCCCCACGAGCGCTGTGGGCCCGGCCGCGGAGATCACACATGAGCAGGCTAGTGAGCAGGGGACGAGTCCGACAGCACCACGCAGCGAAAGAGTTGCGAGCTATTGGACATGAAGACCAGGCGCTGCTCGTGCGTCTCTCCCTCCGCCACGAAATCGGTGCGCGCCGCCCACCCGCCCGCGCGCAGGAAGCCGGAGGCCGGGACGGCAGACGCACTCGTGTACCTGCGGGGGCGACGGAGGTCGGTGACGCCAGAGGCGAGGGCAGCGGCGGCAGCGGCGGTGTGCGGGTCGCACCGGAGTATCGCGTACCGCTCGCCCTTCGCGAGGCCCGACACGGCGAGCGTTCCGACGAGCGGCGTGGGCGGCTCGTGCTTGCCGTCCTCGCGCGAGTAGTCGGGCTCGTACCAGGCGGAGACGACCTGTTCACATCCGGAGGCGTGCAGGGGGCCTCTGCGCAGGGAAGCGCTTGCGCCGTGCGGCGACGACCAGCCGCGCGGGCAGAAGCTCGCCGGCGGGGTCGTGGTTGCCGTGCACGCGGTAGCCGTAGTCCACGGATGCGGGGAGGCAGTACTCGAACCGCTGCTTCCACGGCAGGGCGCGCCTGAGGCAGCGCCGAGGGGGTGGAGCAACGCGGCGGTGGACCGCAGCGCTCGGGCTGCTGCAGCACGGCAGGGTGGGGCGCGCCGGCAGCGGGCGCGGTCCTTGGCGAAGGTGGCGAGGTCCGCGACCAGAGTCGAGTTGGAGTGGAGGTCGTTGTACAGGAGCTTGGCCGGCCTGCGACGAGTGCACAGGCACGAGTGAAGCCGGCTGGCTGGAGTGAAGCCAGCTGGAGTGAAGCCAGCTGGAGTGAAGCCAGCTGGAGTGAAGCCAGCTGGAGTGTGGCTCGTCGTGTGCGGCAGCGTGGTCGGCCTGCCCAGCACGCCGACGTACCCAACCAGCGGCACGATGTGGTCGAGGTGAGGGTTGTCCTCGCCCGCCATGTACACGCCAAAGACGGACGGCTCTCCCGCGTCGACCGATCGCGCCAGCCACGCAGCAAAGGCGGCGGCCTGCGGGACAGGAAGGGGTGACAGGAAGGGGGGGAGGGCAGGCTCCGGGGTGGCGGGGCGAGGCGGAGCAGCCGAGTCGGGCGGCGGCTGTGGGGGCGGCGGGGCGAAGCGGGGTGGCGAAGGGGGGGGGTAGGGGGCGGGAGGAGCCTGCGGCTGCAGCGCGCTGGCGTGGTCCCACGCGGTCACGTTAAGTCGGAGCCGCCTCGCCACCGCGACCGAGTCGCAGCAGCCGCCCTCGGCGCCGAGCTGGTGCGCGCCGTCGTGCCCGCCCGTCTCGCCGCGGACGGCGTCCTGCGTGAGCCAGCTGCCTACGGGGCGCGTCGAGGACAGGTCTCGGACATGTCAGGGACGGAACTACCGCCCTGGCGAGCCATCCGCCGTAGTACAGGGCGACCGACTGGATGGAGGCGGAGCCGCAATAGCCCGACACGCGGCGGCCCCAGCCCCACATCAGGCGAGGCGGCATGGCGAGGGCGTGCCGCTCTTCGGGCGGAGGCGGCGGCAGGGTCGTCGGCGGCGGCGGAGGAGGCGGCGGGGTCGGCGGCGGCGGCGGAGGAGGCGGAAGTGGTCCATCCTCGAGCGGGCGGCACCTCGGCCGCGGGGCTGGCAGCAGCTTGTCGAGGTAGTGCCGGTAGACGTGCGTCCGCTCGAAGCAGGCCTCACACGCAGGCACACGCTCCCACCCCGGCGGAGGAGCGACCCCGCCGCCCGCCGCCCAGCAGCCGCCGCAGCCCGAGGGCGGCCCGCCCGTCTCCCAAAGGCAAGCCTCGCCGAGCAGGCCGGCGTCGGCCGTCGCGCGCGCCTACGGGCGCCGTCGGCTCATCACGGCACCGCCTCGGCTCGTCAGCTCCTCCCGAAGCGGGAGTAGGCAAACGGCATCTCGTCTCGGCTCTGCTCTCGGGGCTGCCCTCTCCTGCACCGGGTCCCACCGGTCTGCGAGGGCAAAGAGCCTCCCGGCGGCGGCCGAGCTCGCGGGCGTGATGCCGAGTCGGCGGCGGAGCGCGCCGCGCCAGCTTCCGGCGGAGAAGACCACCGCGGGAGGCGGCGGCGCAGCGCCGCTGCCCGCCGCAGCGCCGCTGCCCGCCGCAGCCCGCACCTCGGCCACCATCATCGCAAGGCTCGCGCCGAGAGAGTGGCCGGTGAAGAGCAGGTCGCACCGCGGGCACGAGACGGCTGAAACCTCGGTGGCGCGCGCTGCAAACTCGACTGCGCGAGGGAGGTAATCGAGCGTGTGGTTGTCGAAGCGTCCACAGAAGGCGGGCAGCGGTGCCGCGCCCAGCGCAGCGTCGGCGCAGGCGTCTGCCTGCCCGGAGACGCCGCTGGAGTTGAGGTCGGTACCGCGAAATGCGACAACTGCTCGACGCGTGCCAGGATGCACGAAGAGGAGCGCGCGCATGCCGGCGGGCGGATTGGCGGTCAGAGCACGCGTCCAGCCAGCCACGGTGGCGTTGGCCTCGCTCGCGTTGAAGTACGAACCAGAAGTGGACGTGTAGGCCAGCTTGACCATGATCGAAAGCGGCTCGGTGGTGGCGTGGAAGGCACTCTCGTTGCAGGTGGCGAGGCGGGCCACGCCGCTCCACGGTGACGACATGGCGGCGGGGCTTGGAAAAATATATTTTTCTCCCACGGTGAAGGGCGGCAGCGGAGGAAGCGACACCAACAACGAGGGAAACGACCATACCGGTCGTCGCATAACGCTCGGGAGACGAGCAAGAGAGCGAATCAAGGAGGGTTGAGACCCTGGGAAGGCGAGGGGTGAGCCCTCAGGCGGGGGGGTCTACTCAAGTGTCTGCGCAAGTGGAATGCAGAGTGGTGTGGTGTGGGGCGTGCAGTGTGGTGTTCATTAGCTCCGAGTAGAGGGGGCGTCCTGCAGTTAAGGGGAAACCCGGTACGCGGGGCTAACCCTCGGAGACCCGTGTTTACTTTATGGCCCTTTCCCTGCGAACGCGCACCCCCGGGGCTAGGGCTCTCTTGCCCGCAACCCGATCCCGATCATCCGGCCCGCTGGGTGCGCTTCTTAGCTCCCCGGCCCTGGATGTGAGGCTGCCAACTGCACTCCAAGTGCTCCAAGTGCCCACGGGCGTCGCGTGGGTCGGTTGTGCATCCCTCCGGCCGGGGCCCCTCTGCGCCGGGGAGGCGTTGTTGGAGGCTAGGACGCAAGCGTCCGTCGCCCTTTCCCCCTCGGGGCCCACTCCGCTACGCTCCGACCCGAATTTGGAGGGCCTAAAAGTTTAAGGTGTTGCTGCGCAAAAGGGGTCGGACACAGGGCGCAGCTCATGCTAAGAGCCAGAAAAAAAAACTACCGAGTCCCGCGACTAGCTGCCACGTTGCCGACCGAGAGTGGATCTCCTCCTGCTCCGCAAGGAGGGTGGCCAAGGCTAAAGTCTTGCCGGAGCCGCCGGGCGCGTTGACGACTTGGAGAAGGTCGCCCTTGCACTTGTACTTGTAGAGATGCTCGAGGGGGTGCTTTGTGGGGCGGTGCGCAGCCAGGCCAGCAGTGAGGGGAGGCGCACCCTCACTCTCCTCGGTTGCAGAGCTCGTCGGAGGCTGCGGCACGACGGGAGGGTCGCGACAGCAGTCCTCGGGCGAGCCGACGCGCATGTCCAACCAGCGCTGGGACTCGTTGTGACGGCAGACGCCGCCTGCCTCTCCAACCGCTTCATCTGCAGCGTCCTTCTTTGCCCGGTGCATGGGCCGATCCGATTCCGCAGCGTGTCGTCCCCAGCGGCGGTGCTGCGCGGGAGGCGGCCGCGGGCACGCTGGGCTCGATCAGCGGCTTTCCCTCAGTTGCTCCCGAAAGCACGGATTTGGCGCTTTCTTCGCTTCAATTTTACGGATGTCTTGGCACCGCTGATACGAGCGTCACTTTGTACCCACCCCCCCTACTTCGTGGGGACCCCCCCGCCGGTCGGTGGTCTGCCCCCGAGGTGGACCGGACCCCCCCTCCGGTCGGTCGCTCTCTCGGCGGCGGGAGGTGTGACGACCGACCCCCCCCTCGGTCGGTGTCCTTGCCGTGAGCCCCCTGAAACGCTCTCCCTCCTTCTCGCGAACCGCCACGTGGGCGCTTCGAAATCGCCGGTTTTCACTATGAAAACTAGTCACGCAGCCAAGCGCCAAGGAGACTTCTTCGCCGAGGCCCGAGCGAGCCCGACCCCACACATGCATGTGGAGCATCTACGCAGTCGCAGGCCTGGTCCTGCTTGCCGTCACTTTGTACTCCAGACTTCTCCGCAGTACGCGCGCATCGTCCCTTCCGATGACTACGATGACTTGCCAGACTTGATCGACACATCGCCGCCGCCGTCACCGGGCTCATCGGCTTCCGAGAGTCGCCCAAGCGACAGCGAATGGCAATCGATGGACGCCGCTTCTGGAGCAACTCAGTTAATCGCGACATGCTGCGCGTTGCGCGCGGGCAGAGCTATGCCGGCAACATGATCTGCCTCGCACCCGGTCTTCGCGTCTCCAAATTTCCCCTGGACCATGATGCCACCGTGTGCGGTGTGACCCTCGAGCCAACCCGACCGACCCCCCCCTCGGTCTGCGCTCCGACCGACCGGACCCCCCCTTCGGTCTGCGGTATTCCGCGGCCGCCGACCGGACCCCCCCTGCGGTCGGTCGGTCTGCGCTGGGCGCTCAAACCGCGAAGTCGGCCTGTTCACTACAAGATGACGCTCGTATGAAGGCTTGCCCGGCCGAGATCACGCAGTTCGCACGGTATTCGGATTTTGCTATTTGCTCGTGTGGGGCATATTGCAGAGATTGTCCATGGTACCGCGTCTGCGACGCACGCGGGCGCCTTGCGAGCAGAGCCCTTAGGTCACCCATTATATCTTGCGCGGTCATAACGCAAGTCGGGCTTTTGCGTGAAAGCTTACTTACATGCCCCGTTTGTGCCGCGTCGGTTCCCCCGAGTTCATTTTAAAAATAAAAAAGAAATACTATATGGCACGCGCCTTGCTTCCGCAGCATCCCGCGCTACCTAACTGGCCCCTCAATCAACGCTCTGCTCCGTTCGCCGCTTATCAGGTAGAGTTTGTTGTATCTAGATAGAGATTTCACGTTGTTGAGCGCCTCTAATCACTAATCGCTCTCCATAGTACTCCATACAGACTCCATAGGAGGCGCTTCGACCTTTCGTCACGCGCCGGATGTAGAGCTCTCCTCTACAGCTCCCCCGGTCGTTAGACCGCATCGTTGGAGGCAGGCCCCGCTCGTCTAGCCAATCAGCGCCTTACGCGCGCGGCCGGCCGGGCCGTGAGAATGGCCGAGGAGGGAGGACGATTGTCCCTGCGCCATCAGTCAACGTACGAGCCGCCCTCTCCCCTCCTGCTCCCCACAGAAGTCTGGCGGCGCGGAGTCGGGACTCGGAAGCGATAATTAAAAGCGTGACTGCAGCCACACTGGGAGTCGGTCGGGGGACTGCCCGCCCCCACACCACCACACCACCACCAGAGACCCCAAGTGTGAGCAGTCCACGAGACGTCAGTGTCCAGCGCCTGCGTCGCTCTGTGTCTGTCTGGCTCGGGCGGGGGGGGGGGGTGGACATGGTTGGTCTCTACAATATATACACTGACACTGAACCTCCCAGAGCTCGTCCCGGTCCGTCACGGCCATCCTCGGCCTCCGGAGGGCCCCCGGCCGCGGCGCGGTGCGGCGGAGTCACAAATCCGACGGCAGAGCACCGGGACGCGGGCGAGTGATCTAAGGCCCAGTGAGGCGTATGCATTGCCCATCCAGGGCTATCACCTGGACCTATCAACAGGCGCCTGCGGCGCCGTGCTCAGGAGCTGCTGCTCCAACCTGTTCACACTTTTTGGTACGGCACAGTATGAACAAGAAGGATCCTACAACTGTACTGTCCTTTTGCTGTTCACAGCTAGGCCTAGGGACGGCCTCTGCGGCAAAGTCAAACCACCCGACCTACCTACCTACCCACCGCAGCAAACCTTCGGCTCCCGCTCAGAGGCTCGCCGGGCCCGTGCACCCTCCACACCCTCTAGAGCCGTATAACCTTTCCGATATATACACAGCTCACACACCACCACACAGTCGCGCCCAGTGTGGAGACTCACAAGGAATGGGAATCAAACAAACTCTGTGACATACGCTTCAAAACCTCGGACATTTTACCAACTCCTTGGCGACGTGCGCGTCGCGTCGCCAAGGCTCTGCGACCTCGGTCGTACAATCGGCGACCTCGGTCGCACAACCGGCCGGATGCGCGGGTTTTCAGCCAGGTTCCCGCGCACCGGCCACAAACTCGACTCGCACAGCAAAAAAACCCGGTGCTCGCGCGCTGCTCCCACGCTTGACCACACACTCGCTGCACTGCTCAAAGCCAACCCTACCTCACTGGCCGCCTCCAACACTGTCCCGCGCGTCTCGCGCCCCAACTGACAACTCATCTCCCGCGCACCGGCCACGAACTCGACTCGCACAGCAAAAAAATCCGGTGCTCGCGCGCCCCGCTCCCACGCTTGACTACACACTCGCTGCACTGCTCAAAGCCAACCCTACCTCACTGGCCGCCTTCGACACTGTCCCGCGCGTCTCGCGCCCCAACTGACAACTCATCATTGTCCCTCGGACACCACTCTCCAGCCGCGCTACCTTCGCCCACCTACCGCTCTCGCATGACATCTCGACAATCCTCATATCTCCAGGCCCAAGACTCCTAACCACTGCCCCTGCTCGCCCAGGACCACGAAGCGCCGCCCGCGCCCATTGACCCCCCAATCAGCCTCGACAATCAGCCCTCTTGCTGTCCCTCAATCCCCACCCGCCAGATGTACTGCCCTCGCCCACCCAATACTCTCACCCTCCTGACCCGGACAGTCCAGGTACAGGAAAAGCGGGGAGCGGGGCCCGATCCAAGGAGCACCCCGTCGGCCCGGGAGGGCTGTGAATTTCGGCGCGAGCGGAAGGCTGCCTGCAGACGCTCAGCCCCCGGCTGAGCTGCCGAATCCTCCCGGCTAATCCCCTGACCTGCCGCCTGAAACGGGACGACATTACACCACCTCACACACACTCCCCCCTCAGGGCTAAGCAGTGCGCAAGTCCACCCGAACTCTAGGCGAGGCGTCGACCACTCCTTCGGAATAGCTCTGTCAGTGGCTGCACTAGACGCCCAGAGATGGCGCGCGGCGCGGGCGGATGACTGGAAGAGAAAATGCGGAGATGCTAGCTCGCAGGTAGATGTGCTCAGCCAAGGG